CCGATGAAAGTAGTCGCCATGGAGAGGTTTATATATTCGACCATGTATTTAAGCAGGAATGTACAAATTCAGATGTATATGGATCTGTAGTAAAACCTTTAGTCGATTCCTTCATGGAAGGTTTCAATGCCACAATATTTGCATATGGCCAAACATCTTCTGGCAAAACACACACCATTTTGGGCAATAAAACAGATCCTGGGCTTTTCCAATTAGTATCCAATCAGTTATTCCAGCATGTGGCAGACCAGGTTGATAAGAGGTACTTGATTAGATGCAGTTATATTGAAATCTACAATGAAAAGATCAATGACGTCCTGGATAAGAGCAATCAGGGTTTAACTATAAGAGAAGATATCAAAGGAAATGTGCTGCTTGATGCAAGGGAAGCTGTCGTAGACAATGTTGATAAAGTTATGGAGAACATGATGCAGGGCAATAAGATCAGACGAGTTGCAGCTACTCGCATGAATGAGAGGTCATCTCGATCACACACGATTTTCCGGATTATTCTGGAGTCGAAAGATGCCAATCAGAAAGATGGACCTGTACATATAAGCTACCTTAACTTAATGGACTTAGCTGGTTCTGAGAGAGTTTCTCTGACGAAAGCTGCTGGTGAGCGTCTTAAAGAGGGGGCTAACATAAACAAATCTTTGTCAGTATTAGGAAATGTGATAAGGCAACTAAGCGAGGGGAAGGAGTTTATCAGTTATCGCGATTCGAAATTGACTAGACTGCTCTCACAGGCTCTTGGCGGTAATGCCAAATCATTGATTATCGGGAATGTTACTTTAGCTGCAGAGGAGGAGACTAGATCTACACTAGAATTCGCCCAAAGCACTAAAACTGTCAAAAATAAACGAAAGTAAACATCTTGTCAGCTACAGAAGAGGCACTTCAAGGATATCAGAACTTGACTCGCGATCTCGAAACTCGGCTCAAAAAGCAGGCAATTAAGCTAGAAGAGATGGAGAAAAGCAAACAAGAGTATCTGCTCGAGATAGAAAGACAAAAACGGAAGTATCTATTGTCGGCGCTTTCAAATGGGAGCCTCGGCATCAACACCGAAAAAAACATTAAGACGTCATACTTTTGGACACTATGGAAACGTATCACCTAAAAAAGCATCCCTAGGGTATATGCCATTGAAAAATTATCCACCCAAAGAAGAATATCCGGACGTGAAATGAGGCCTATTCAAGAAGAGACATATGAGGAGGGCACTAGCCGAAGCAGAATCTGTGATAGCTGAAGACGCTGCAAGTGTACTTAAAAGACAACTCAAAGAACTGAAGAATCTTTCAATGAGCTTAGAGAATTCACTACACTAGATAATCAGCTGGAGATTTTGGACCTGAAGGAAACAGCTCACAGAAGCCAATTCTAAATTCGATCGTTACAGTCAGGAACTCCGCCAAGTAACGGATGCGTACAACGAAGAAATAAAAAGAGTTCAAAAAAATTCTCAAAAAGCGCAAGAATTTCATCGACTTGCAATACAGACTCGATTTTCTGGAAAAAAATAATAAAACGACTAAAAACATACGAGTCAGAAATAGAGATGCTGCGTACTCAACTGAAGAACCTAGGAAGATCAGAGAGCCCTAAACCATCTCTTGAAAGCTCAAAATATTGAGTCAAAAAGAAGGTTGCAGACTTAGAAGCTATGCTTGACGCTGAGTACGAAGATATGCAACATTCTTTAAGTGCTGCTGCACAAACTGATGTAACGATGTCACACATTGCTGAACTGCAAGATGAAATTGGCTTCCTAAAAGAACTTGAATCTAAACTGAGAATGACGTAAAGAGTCTGATGGACGAGAGTAACCAACGTGAGGTCAACCACTCATTTAAAATCTCAGATATACGATGCCATAATGATTCTACTATAAAAGAGCTTCAGGATCAAATGGCTGAACTGGAATGCCAAAACGAAATCTGGATTATGAAAAAGGTCGACGAAATCAGAAAATTGCAACAACTAATTACAAACCCGAAGCAGGCTGGCACTTAACCAGAACCACCTGTGCAGGAAGACGTTGCATTTTATAGGGAGCAAGTTGAGTTCTCCCAGAACATGTACAAAAATGAGATAATAGGTGGAGAGTTACGTATAAACCATAGAGAAAATCTTCAGGCAGTTAAACTAGTAATATGTCTACCCTTGTTTAGTGTTTACGATTATTGCAGGGTTTGGACAAAGTTTAGGGCTGATCCCAAGGACCACGATAGCACCTAGGACTTAAGATTGTGATCTAGTTTGGTAACCGCTCACAGTGTACAATGTCAGCTAATAAATCTTGAATTCTGAGGCAACAAAATCAACTAAAACTCCGTAAAAGTGATTTATCAGAAATCATGCCCTTACTTCCATGATAAGAGCGATTCGTAAAATTATAAGCAGGTTGTGGCTTATTATCTAGTAAAAGATACAAGAATCCCAGATCTGAAAACGATTATTGTTCATGTGATCACAAACTTGCAGCGACTTGGTTTGTGCGTCGTTGGCACTATTTCTAATCAGGGCGCAACGATCAAAAACGCACTTGAGACGATTTGCTCGGAGAATACTCACGGATCAAGTCCATTCCATTTTATAGTCAATGCTCAGAGTATTTCTACAATTTGTGATGAACCACATTTATTCAAAAATGGATGAAATGCTCTTATTGATATTAATATGAAAGTGAAGAAGCTGCACAGATTGAACATGTCTAGAAATCATATAATGTTGATCAGCAAACAAGACCATACAAAGAGCTATGTAAATTGAAACCCAGCCACTTTGATTTTATAGATTCGTTCAAGAATATAGAAATTAATCCTTTAATGGTATCGTCGGATGATTCGAGCTTTCTCAGTTATGTGGTGGGGGTCCCGTGACTTCTCATACGGTATAAGCACGTATACCTCAAACCACAGTTCAATTTAAACATCACAATTGTTGGTTTGTTGACTTTGCGGTCAAATTTGATCCGAGGATATCAGTTGCGTGTACGATTTGAACTTCCTTCACAATGGATTTTTTCGTTGTTGACGGATGAACAATACACTATAGACTACGCCGAGGACGACGCTGTTATCGATCAACCTGAACAACTTCCTATGGGCGACCTCGCTATGCTCATGGAAAAAACATGTACAATTGGTCAAAACGAGCGCCTGCAACTGGTCGATTATTACGCATTTACCTGAACTAAAGTCCGTGGCAACCAATTTGGAAAATAATAACCCTGTGACTCGAGAAATGCCGATAAATTTCTCCAAATACGTGAAATTTTCGAGACACTCATAGAGAACTGTCGAAATTGTTATATTTCGGGTGAGTCCCCTACAAAATACGAGATGCTCGTGGGCCGATGTCCTTCCTGTGCCTACAAGAAAACTAAACCGAATAAGTATGGACTGATGATGCAAAGACTCACCACTACCTGCTCAATGCTTTCGTCTATACGAACAGAAATATCACAGCAGATGACTGGTTCACGTCAGTAGAATTACATGTAGAATTGCGCATCAACCAACTGACCTATGTCGGCAGGAAGCGTAAAAATAAGTAACAAGTACCCCAACATGTAGTTCCAAATAAGAAGGAAACACAGCCAGGTACTTCTAAGTTTATGTTCACTAGCACTACGGCCTTAGAGTAGTATCTTCCAAAACCAAATACACATGTTCTCGTATAGCAATCTATGCAGCATGATAACAAAATAGTAGAGGAATCAAAGAAACCTGATAAGATTCTATATTATTTTTATAACACTATGAAGGCGGGGGGTAATGCATTAGATCGGAAGTGTGTAAATTACAATACTGGTTAGAGAACGAGAAGATGGCCTTGTGCTATTTGGTATCCAACCAGCTTCTGTAAATTCCTTTTTTTTCAGTCTGGGACTGAAAGTTCCATTAGGCGACGAAATTTTATTGTTCCCCTGAGGCAAACTCTAATTTAACTTCGTATGAGGGGACGTTTATCAGATCCAAGACTTCCTAGGGAGCTTTGTTCAGCCATGCAAAGAATCCTAATTACCAACGACGAATAAAGTAAGCCGTCTACTTCTCAGCCCAGAGTTCTCGATCCTGATGCAGTTGTTAAAGAAAAAAAACGACGTAGGTGTTACATGACAATACACAATGAAAAAAATGTTCTACAATCTGTAATAAGTATGTAAAGTCACAGCGCACTTACATTGTTTCGTGAAAAGTGATAAATGTTAATTATTGTATGTTTCCTTATACGAGAAAGTATTTGTTTTTGTTGTAGAATATCAACACCAAATATGTTGTTAAATGGCCCATTTTGTTAGTTTTTTTATGTTCATATTACAGTTCAAGTTTCGAGGATTATATTTATTGCATTACTCATCTTCAATGGGGTATTTTCGTTTTTAGACAATAAACAGTTTTCATGTAAGAGTGTCTTATGCGTACAAACCTGTTGTAGACATGGCTAAAAACAGTAATGGCATTTCAGATGTTGATAGTAAGATCCGGTGGATAACCTGTTTTGCGAGATTAGACGTGGGATTTCCAACACGAACACCATCTGTTTATTTGAAGCATTAAAAACTGTAATAATCAACAATTTCAGTTTTCCATTGACAATAATGAAGAATTATGAAGGCGATCATGTAAGGCACTAGGTAACTTCGCGTTGCTTTTAGAAGAGTATTGTCTGAATAGACAACAGTTACCTTGTGATTCTTCACCGAGCTGCATTTTTCAAGTTGAAAAATCGGGTGCTGAAAGTGATGGATCTATAGATTTGTGAGAATTTGCTGCTGCTTCAACTTCTTTTTGTAATAACAATAACAGTCTATATGAAATTTAACAATTCTGTTTCTTCTTTGATTTTGAGTCACCCTGTAAATGTAGCTCTACTAAACTATCGGACCGCATTCATAGCCTACAAGAGAAAAATATCTTCTATACTGGAAAGGAGGAAAAAAAGAATGTATCAACCTGATACATCTGCCCCTCTTTATAACCCGTGAAATAGCCCTAGTTCTAATTAAATTTCAGTTCAAGCTTCCAAAATGACTTCCGACAATATTAAAGTAGCCATAAAGATCAGACCAATGATCCACCCCGAAGTAGCCGATGGTCTAGAGCGTCTTTGGAACGTAAGAGCAAACTGCATATGGGAAGCCGATGAAAGTAGTCGCCATGGAGATGTTTATATATTCGACCATGTATTTAACTAGGAATGTACAAATTCAGATGTATATGGATCTGTAGTAAAACCTTTAGTCGATTCCTTCATGGAAGGTTTCAATGCCACAATATTTGCATATGGCCAAACATCTTCTGGCAAAACACACACAATTTTGGGCAATGAAACAGATCCTGGGCTTTTCCAATTAGTATCCAATCAGTTATTCCAGCATGTGGCAGACCAGGTTGATAAGAGGTACTTGATTAGATGCAGTTATATTGAAATCTACAATGAAAAGATCAATGACCTCCTGGATAAGAGCAATCAGGGTTTAACTATAAGAGAAGATATCAAAGGAAATGTGCTGCTTGATGCAAGGGAACCTGTCGTAGACAATGTTGATAAAGTTATGGAGAACATGATGCAGGGCAATAAGATCAGACGGGTTGCAGCTACTCGCATGAATGAGAGGTCATCTCGATCACACACGATTTTCCGGATTATTCTGGAGTCGAAAGATGCCAATCAGAAAGATGGCTGTACATATAAGCTACCTTAACTTAATGGACTTAGCTGGTTCTGAGAGAGTTTCTCTGACGAAAGCTGCTGGTGAGCGTCTTAAAGAGGGGGCTAACATAAACAAATCTTTGTCAGTATTAGGAAATGTGATAAGGCAACTAAGCGAGGGGAAGGAGTTTATCAGTTATCGCGATTCGAAATTGACTAGACTGCTCTCACAGGCTCTTGGCGGTAATGCCAAATCATTGATTATCGGGAATGTTACTTTAGCTGCAGAGGAGGAGACTAGATCTACACCAGAATTCGCCAAAGCACTAAAACTGTCAAAAATAAACCGAAAGTAAACATCTTGTCAGCTACAGAAGAGGCACTTCAAGGATATCAGAACTTGACTCGCGATCTCGAAACTCGGCTCAAAAAGCAGGCAATTAAGCTAGAAGAGATGGAGAAAAGCAAACAAGAGTATCTGCTCGAGATAGAAAGACTAAAAACGGAAGTATCTATTGTCGGGCGCTTTCAAATGGGAGCCTCGTCATCAACACCGAAAAAAACATTAAGACGTCATACTTTTGGAGACTATGGCAACGTATCACCTAAAAAAGCATCCCTACGGTATATGCCATTGAAAAATTATCCACCCAAAGAAGAATCATCCGGACGTGAAATGAGGCCTATTCAAGAAGAGACATATGAGGAGGCACTAGCCGAAGCAGAATCTGTGATAGCTGAAGACGTGCCTGCAAGTGTACTTAAAAGACAACTCAAAGAACTGGAAGAATCTTTCAATGAGCTTAGAGAATTCACTAAACTAGATAATCAGCTGGAGATTTTGGACCTGAAGAAACAGCTCACAGAAGCCAATTCTAAAATCGATCGTTACAGTCAGGAACTCCGCCAAGTAACGGATGCGTACAACGAAGAAATAGAAAGGGTTCAAAAAAATTCTCAAAAGCGCAAGAATTTCATCGACTTGCAATACAGACTCGATTTTCTGGAAAAACATTATAAAAAGACTAAAAACATACGAGTCAGAAATAGAGATGCTGCGTACTCAACTGAAGAACCTAGGAAGATCAGAGAGCCCTTAACTATCTCTTGAAGCTCAAAATATTGAGTCAAAAAAGAAGGTTGCAGGCTTAGAAGCTACGCTTGACGCTGAGTATGAAGATATGCAAGATTCTTTAAGTGCTGCTACACAAACTGATGTAACGATGTCACAGATTGCTGAACTGCAAGATGAAATTGGCTTCCTAAAAGAACTTGAATCTAAACTGAGAAATGACGTAAAGAGTCTGATGGACGAGAGTAATCAACGTGAGGTCAACCACTCATTTAAAATCTCAGATATACGATGCCATAATGATTCTACTATAAAAGAGCTTCAGGATCAAATGGCTGAACTGGAATGCCAAAACGAAATCTGGATTATGAAAAATAACGACGAAATCAGAAAATTGCAACAACTAATTACAAACCCGAAGCTGGCTGGCACTTAACCAGAACCAGCTGTGCAGGAAGACGTTGCATTTTATAGGGAGCAAGTTGAGTTCTCCCAGAACATGTACAAAAATGAGATAATAGGTGGAGAGTTACGTATAAACCATAGAGAAAATCTTCAGGCAGTTAAACTAGAAATATGTCTACCCTTGTTTAGTGTTTACGATTATTGCAGGGTTTGGACAAAGTTTAGGGCTGATCCCACGGACCACGATAGCACCTAGGACTTAAGATTGTGAATCTAGTCTTGGTAACCGCTCACAGTGTACAATTTTCAGCTAATAAATCTTGAATTCTGAGGTAACAAAATCAACTAGAACTCTGTAAAAGTGATTTATCAGAAATCATGCCCTTACTTCCATGATAAGAGGAATTCGTAAAAATTATAAGCAGGTTGTGGCTTATTATCTAGTAAAAGATACAAGAATCCCAGATCTGAAAACGATTATTGTTCATGTGATCACAAACTTGCAGCGACTTGGTTTGTGCGTCGTTGGCACTATTTGTAATCAGGGCGCAACGATCAAAAACGCACTTGAGACGATTTGCTCGGAGAATACTCACGGATCAAGTCCATTCCATTTTATAGTCAATGCTCAGAGTATTTCTACAATTTGTGATGAACCACATTTATTCAAAAATGGATGAAATGCTCTTATTGACATTAATATGAAAGTGAAGAAGCTGCACAGCTTGAACATGTCTAGAAAGCATATAATGTTGATCAGCAAACAAGACCATACAAAGAGCTATGTAAATTGAAACCCAGCCACTTTGATTTTATAGATTCGTTTAAGAATATAGAAATTAATCCTTTAATGGTATCGTCGGATGATTCGAGCTTTCTCAGTTATGTGGTGGGGGTCCCGTGACTTCTCATACGGTATAAGCACGTATATCTCAAACCACAGTTTAATTTAAACATCACAAGTGTTGGTTTGTTGACTTTGCGGTCAAATTTGATCCGAGGATGTCAGTTGCATGTACGATTTGAACTTCCTTCACAATGGATTTTTTGGTTGTTGACGGATGAACAATACACCACAGGCTACGCCGAGGACGACGCTGTTATCGATCAACCTGAACAACTTCCTATGGGCGACCTCGCTATGCTTATGGAAAAAACATGTACAATTAGTCAAAACGAGCGCCTGCAACTGGTCGATCCAGACGACAATATTATTACGCATTCACCTGAACTAAAGTCCGTGGCAACCAATTTGGAAAATAATAACCCTGTGACTCGAGAAATGCAGATAAATTTCTCCAAATACGTGAAATTTTCGAGACACTCATAGAGAACTGTCGAAATTGTTATATTTCGGGTGAGTCCCCTACAAAATACGAGATGCTCGTGGGCCATGTCCTTCCTGTGCCTACAAGAAAACTAAACCGAATAAGTATGGACTGATGATGCAAAGACTCACCACTACCTGCTCAATGCTTTCGTCTATACGAACAGAAATATCACAGCAGATGACTGGTTCACGTCAGTAGAATTACATGTAGAATTGCGCATCAACCAACTGACCTATGTCGGCAGGAAGCGTAAAAATAAGTAACAAGTACCCCAACATGTAGTTCCAAATAAGAAGGAAACACAGCCAGGTACTTCTAAGTTTATGTTCACTAGCACTACAGCCTTAGTGTAGTATCTTCCAAAACCAAATACACATGTTCTCGTATAGCAATCTATGCAGCATGATAACAAAATAGTAGACTAATCAAAGAAACCTGATAAGATTCTATATTATTTTTATAACACTATGAAGGCGGGGGGTAATGCATTAGATCGGAAGTGTGTAAATTACAATACTGGTTAGAGAACGAGAAGATGGCCTTGTGCTATTTGGTATCCAACCAGCTTCTGTAAATTCCTTTTTTTTCAGTCTGGGACTGAAAGTTCTATTAGGCGACGAAATTTTATTGTTCCCCTGAGGCAAACTCTAATTTAACTTCGTATGAGAGGACGTTTATCAGATCCAAGACGTCCTAGGGAGCTTCGTTCAGCCATGCAAAGAATCCTAAATTACCAACGATGAATAAAGTAAGCCGTCTACTTCTCAGCCCAGAGTTCTCGATCCTGATGCAGTTGTTAAAGGGAAAAAACGACGTAGGTGTTACATGACAATACACAATGAAAAAAATGTTCTACAATCTGTAATAAGTATGTAAAGTCACAGCGCAGCTAGATTGTTTCGTGAAAAGTGATAAATGTGAATTATTGTACGTTTCCTTATACGAGAAAGTATTTCTTTTGTTGTAGAATATCAACACCAAATATGTTGTTAAATGGCCCATTTTGTTAGTTTTTTAATGTTCATATTACAGTTCAAGTTTCGTAAATTATATTTATTGCATTACTCATCTTCAAATGGGGTATTTTCGTTTTTAGACAATAAACAGTTTTCATGTAAGAGTGTTTTATGCGTACAAGCCTGTTGTACACATGGCTAAAAACAGTAATGGCATTTCAGAAGTTGATAGTAAGATCCGGTGGATAACCTGTTTTGCGAGATTAGACGTGGGATTTCCAACACGAACCCCATCTGCTTATTTGCAGCATTAAAAACTGTAATAATCAACAATTTCAGTTTTCCATTGACAATAATGAAGAATTATGAAGGCGATTCATGTAAGGCACTAGGTAACTTCGCGTTGCTTTTAGAAGAGTATTGTCTGAATAGACAACAGTTACCTTGTGATTCTTCACCGAGCTGCATTTTTCAAGTTGAAAAATCGGGTGCTGGAAGTGATGGATCTATAGATTTGTGAGAATTTGCTGCTGCTTCAACTTCTTTTTGTAATAACAATAACAGTCTATATGAAATTTAACAATTCTTTTTCTTCTTCTTGAGTGCACTGTTGGTTGTTTGTTTGAGTATCCTTGAAGGAAAGAACTAATTCGTATTCTCCAACCTAACTAATAGATCATGACTTTTTTATAGGTTTTTTTACGGTTTGTTATTGGATCTCAATTGTGTAGATGTTTTACTTCGCACCTCATGACCAAACTGTTGTGATCCATAAGTACACATGCAACATTCTAGTCGAAGATTGCATAACAACTAACCAATGTGTTAGGACAACAGTTCTGGTTGGGTTTTTCATATTCCTGGCAATAATCACACCAAAAAAAGGCGAAAGAAAATATCCAAGCGTCTTTAGTTCTGACAGAAACTGGGGATTGAGAAGCGGAATCTGAAATGCCATAAACAAGTACTCTGTGACAAAAATAAGTCGAAGAAACTAAGTCTTTGATTCACACTCGTCACACTCGCCGTTTTTGGAGCAGCCGCACAAAAAGCGACAAATCTTACAAAAATTACATCATTTTCAAAGTACTTTGCCATATAAAAATACCTGAAAATTGTATGTCGCCGTAACGCGTTCCCGAAGGGACTCGAAGCAACATAGAAATGACTTGGTTAAAGCACTTTTGAAATTAGAAAAGAAAAAGATATCATTGCTAGAAAAATAGGATATCACTGATGGCGATAAGCATCTCAACTTTTTTAATTCTTTAATACTACATGTCAGGTA